GCAAGTATTAATGAACTATTATACATCTCTATCAAGTCACAACACTAGTACTGAGTGAGTTTTTTCAAATTAATAACTTGATCAATCGATGATTTCTTATGATCGTTGACATCCTAAATACGTTTTTATGTGGACAAAAATCCAAAACTGAACTTGCAGGAATACTAGTATACGAATGTTATTAATTTCAACTTTTCCACAATACTCTAGCTTATGCCAGAGTAGTCAAAATTTCTTCTCATATTTTACACTGATTTTTTTTCTACTATTGCATTGAAAAAAAATGTTTACTTTTTTTTCTGGAGTTGCTATGGTCTGTAATGGAGGGTATGTCTGTAATGTTCTCTTTCCCGTTGCTATGTGTCTGTAATGGGGTGGGGAGCCGCCAACCTCGAACTGAAAACTTACACTCACTATTTTCTTCGAAAACATACGTGAGTCCCACAAAAGATTAAGTTTTACTTTTAGTTCACGTCCTCTTGTTTCTATTGGTAATAAAAATGCACAAATAGCTGCTATGGCTGTTGCTATCGTATAAATTGCAATAGTTCCATGAAACGTGTGCTTAATTAGAACTTGTGCTAAGAATGGTGTTATCATGGCACCAATTCTTGCCATTGACGATGCACATCCAATAGCAATAGCACGTATAACTGTTGGATAGACTTCCATTGTATAAAGATACACTAAACTAAATTGTGAACTAATAAACATTCGTGCTAAAAATGTAATTATATTAATTATCCATGGTTTGGTGTGAGAAATAAAAAGAAATGATAAAAAACAAAATGATGCACATGAAAAATTAATAGCACAAACTATTCGACGACCAAAAAACGCAAGAAAAAATAATAATAATGGTATACCAAACATTTCACCAAATGTTGTAAATATTAAGGATTGATAATCTTTTGTTGTTAACATTTTACATTGAGATGGTTTAATTGTACTTGTATTTTTTATTAGTTCATGTTCATTATCAAATAATGTTATTATAGATGTATTGATTAAGACTAAGCCATAATAACTCATAGCTACGGTCATCCACATGAATGCAAGTAAAAATGATGTACGTTTATAATTTACATGAAATAAATGTTTTATTGAACCACATTCATCCTAATTATTGAGAACAAAACAAAAAACATTTTTTTTTGTATTTTGAAAAATTCTTTTTTTTTGTCAAACTAACTTGAGCATGAACATCGTGAAGTTTTCCTTCTGGTAAAGAACGTTTATTTGTTGATGCTATTGCTTTTAAAACATGTTCAGCTTTTTCTGGACAACCACTAGCAACAAAATAACGTGGTGATTCAGGTACGAACTTAAGAAAAGAAAAAAAAGTATTTCTTGAATAATGAAAAAAATTATTAAATACTTACATACATAAAAATAGCAACAATTGTTATTGGTAAAGCTGAAAGAACTGTTAACAAACGCCATCCATATGATGGAACTATGATCATACCCATGACATATTCAAAAATACTACCTAATGACCAAAATAACCCAGAAACAATAATAATTGTTGCACGAGTAGATGATGGTAAATATTCGAGCATTAATGTTGAACTAAAACAGCAATCAAATGATAAGTCATCATTAAAATAGTGAAAACTAAATCATTCATCTCTACGGATCAAGGTACGAAAATGAATATATTATATATTGAATATAATCTCAATCGAACCGGATTCGATTAAAAATTTTCATGAAGTAGAACTGGTGAGAATACTAGTTTATTCACGAGATAGCCTTGCCTTTAGTTTCGTTCCGAGTTCAATGTTTTTTTGTGTTTCGATTGTTTTATTAATAGAATCTGAATGGTTACTATTTAGTTAATCTATACTATAAAAAATGATACGTCTATCACTACTTACCCTTGAGAAGCTCCTGATAGGGCAAATCCAACAAGAATTCTTGCAAGTAATACGCAGTAGTAATTTGGTGCAGCAGCTGTAAAAATTCCAAATATAGTATTTAATACTGCACTAATAATAATTACTCGTCTTCGTCCATATTTATCAGCTATAATACCAAATATAAATGCTCCAATCATCATACCAGCAAAAACACCCTATAATAAAATAATAATTTCAGTGAATAATATATATGTATAGAACTAGTTACAGTAGTTAATGCAGCCATATGCACTTTTGTAACAGTAGGCCAATAGCAAGTAATTGCTGGTCCTAAAATAGCCAAAAGCATCATTTCTACAGCATCAGCCATTGAACAAAAGCCTAGTATGGCCATCAAACGCCATTGATATTTTCCTAAGCCAATATGATCAATACATTCTTCAAGTGTATATGTTGTAATCGCTTCCATCTATTGTTTTACTTCAACTAATTCAAATAAAATAAGAATAATAATTAATTAAAAAAATATCATATGAAAAGAAAAACTTTAAGAGTTTTATTATTATTAAGTTTCTTTTTATCACAATTTATCAAAATATAATCTTCGAAAAGATATGTCAGCTTGATAGCAACAAAAAATATTTATTTTCTCGTCTATTTTTGAAGATGCATCTACACAATTTACATGTCGATAAGATTGAGTACAAAATTAAAAAAAATCAAATACGAAAATTGAAAAAACAAGGTCACTCACGCGACTAATCGAGAAAGAAAATATGAAGTAAATAAGCACGACCAATATCAAAGCTATAGAAAGAAAGAAAGAGAAAAACACTAGACGTACGAATAACAACAACAAGCACGATAGAATGCTCCACTTGCATAGCACTAGGCAGTGGAAATCACACATTAAGTTATTTTTGTAGAAGCCAACATTGTCGTTAAAGCATCAAGACAACGACCTCATCAGCATTACTTTCATTATGTAACAAATAAAGGCTTTTTTGTTTCTTGTTACTAATTTAGTCGCATCGATGAATCATCATTATTATCTGAGATGTTAAGTTTATGTAATCTAAAATGTAGTCAATCGAGTGCAAAAGACATTTGCATTAGTAGTTAAAAGAATTGTTGTTTTTTTAATAGCGCGACGTTCGATACGTCCATATTATCTTCGTATAGTTACTTTTGAACAATGTAAACGAGCTCTTCATGATCAATCTGAAGCACACGGTTCTGATTCAAATCCAGCATATGATTTTGTCGTGTCCTCTCATTTGCGAACATAAAATCGAAATTAAAAATCTGTTAAATTCGATTTCAGTCGTTTTTTAAATTTAATTCAGTCAAATTTAAAATAATCTGAGGTCTTAAATTTTCGGTTTTCAAATTTCAAAAACATTTACTGATAACAATTGTAAAACAAATTAAAATTTCAGTTATATCCCATGTCAATCGGACACGCTACCGACACATGTGTCGACACAAATTGTGTGACACATAAAGTTCCGTCACGTTTTGACACTGTGCCATAGTGTGTCGATACATGTACGTAATTTTCTATTCATTCTTGGATTCTCTTCCTATGTTATTGATATGTTTAGTTTAACAATATGATTTAACTTTAAACTTTTTTAATATTTATTTAAAAAATGTGACGTTTTGTTGTAGTTTACAACTTCTTCAGACATAATTTTGTATAAATCTAAACTATGCATGCAGAAACATTCGGTTATTTATATACATTGTTTAAGAGAAAAATAGGTATAAAAATAGACTAGTCCATTTGTTTTTCTTTGTTCTTCTTTTTATTTTATTTAATAATGATATGGAAATGAATCGCCAATCCAGAACAACACTACTACCATCTTGTTCCGTATCACTATTAAATAAAATAAAAAGAAGAAAAAAGAAAAACAAATGGACTAGTCTATTTTTCTCTTAAACAATGTATATATATAACCGAATGTTTCTATATGCATAGTTTAGATTTATACAAAATTATGTCTGAAGAAGTTGTAAACTACAACAAAGCGTCACATTTTTTAAATAAATATTAAAAAAGTTTAAAGTTAAATCATATTGTTAAACTAAACATATCAATAACATAGGAAGAGAATCCAAGAATGAATACAAAATTATCAACCTTCCTAGCAAAACTACAACAAGTACGTAATGTGTGTCTTAGTGTGACGACACATGTACGAGTACCGTATCACTGACCAGTGTTCCGAATGAGAATTCGAAGTATAGTGAGATCCCGCACTCTTTTTCAGCAGGTGAAGTGAGATGTTGCACTCCGTTTCACGAACCAAAGTGCAGCAAAGTGCAAATATACAAATCTATCTAGAACAAAGAAATAATAGTTTATATTTTATATTCCAGACTTCTATGTGCATGTATACATATAAATAATAATAAAAAACAATATGTAAATCATCATTTACTAACAAACTTTAAAAACAAGGAACGCTCGTTCGTATGACTCGCTTGATCCTCGACTGTATATTCGGCTCTTTCCATGTTTTATTCCGATTTACAGTCTTCAACACAGCTAGTATCCAATGTTCCAAAGTGGTGGATAGGTGTGTGTACGCTGATATTAGCGTCAAAATCATTGTGCACAATTGTATGCGGGTCCGAATGAAAATTTTTGTCACAAATAGATCTAATCAAATTGACACCCTCACATTGGTACTCAACAAAAATCTAAGGAACAATCCTATGGCGGCGATATCCATATGTACCAAAAAAAAGGAGCTTATATTCATCGTTCTGAGAGGTAATGAAGCAAAGCTCATTCGCGACACATTCGTGAAAACGCGTCATACTCCTTAAAATTTCTACTAAAAATCGGTTTGCTTGCTGACACATCTGCCGGCAATATCGTTTACTAGAGCGTCCTCTAGCAAAATACGGGTTTACTTGAACTATCTTGAGGGTGTGGGTGTGGGTGAGGGTCGGTGTTTGCGTGGCATGTGGGTGTGGGCGTGGGATGTGTGTGTGGGCGTTGCTCTGGTTTTAATACACACCGATCCACAACCACACCCAGGGTATTCTGATAAAAAAAAAACATTTTTTTTGGAAAAAACAGTCCAAAATTTTAGTGTAGTAATTATTATCTCATTCCTCTTTTATTTATTCCACAACTTGAAAAGTCATTGTGAACAATCACAGCGGAGAAGCGCGCTTCCCCGAATAACTGGCCTTTTATTTGAGCGTCGCGGCATGGGGGAGCAAAGCACCTCCGACGAGCCACGACCCATGCTCGTCTCTGTGTACACAGTAATCGCTACTATGGTTGTCATTTTAACATCGGTTTTCAAGAGAAGCTAAAACTTTTAAATTAGCAATAAGGATTAGGACTAATGTGCCCCCACCCTCCACAATACCCCAACATGCTTCTTGGATCACCCCCTATAACTTCATTATCTCTCATATCTCCGTTACCTCCTTATACCTCCATTACCTCCTATACCTCCATTACCTCCTATACCTCCATTACCTCTTATACCTCCTATGCTTCCATCTATTGAAAGTGGAATCAGCTTCCGGAAATTCAAATGAATTTCCTGGAAATTCAAATAAGGCATCTAATCGTTGAAGCATTTGACTTCCATAAGCTATAGGAAAGTTTTAACCAAAGATCAATACGGTTTAAAATAAAAAAGCTGATTTCTGATTGATCTAGTTTTGACCAATCGAAAGCCGGATTAAAAACCGACCTCAGCTTCGGATTTCTGGCCCTCGATAACCTCTAGCAGAGTTCCATGAAAAGTCCGAAAAACCTAGGAATAAGCTAATCTCTCATATGTTTTTTGACCCCAAGCAAACACACAAGCAAGCAAGAAAAGAAACGCATTTTATTTTGTATGACCCTCCCTTCAGTCGAGGGAATTAAACCATTCAAATATTCTATTCAACTATTCAACCAATTAATAATGCGAATATTTATTCAACCATTTAGCCATTCAAATATTTTATTCAACTATTCAACCGATTAAGCATGCGAATATGTATTCAACTATGCAGCCCATACATCATGCGAATATTCGACTCAATCATAAAACCATTCGAATATTCCAATAGTCGAAATCAATAGGTGAATATTCGTATTCAAGTTTCGAATTTTGGACTTCTTTATTATTCAGAAATAACGTTTTCATTCTATTGTTTCGTTCAACCTTGTTCTCATGGGCACATGAAAATCGAACATGCGTTTTTTCTCTCGTTTTGACCTCGTGCATAGCGAGAGAGCCGCAAAAGTAACGCACAATGAGTGATTGAGTGAGTCACTGTTATTTCATCCATCCATAATAGTAGAAATGCAATCGACGAAGACCAAATGGATTCGTGAAACAAACACGTATTGCTCCATTCAGTAAATATAAGGAGAAGATTTGTGAAAAGAAGAAAGTGTAACAGAGAAAGAGAGAGGGCATGAAACCAAAGCAATATGCGTAATGGAGCAAAGCATAGGAGCGCATAGTATAAAAGTGGCGAGCATACTTTATTTTAAAACGAATACAGTAATCGATATCGATAACCATAAAAAAGGTACGTAGTATCTCTATTTGACAAAGCTAACGTTTCCCGATCATCAACAGAAGATTTTATGATTGCACGTCAGCCATGGCCCACTCTGTGAAATCAATGATCATAGACTTAAATGGTTTATATTTCTATTGGCATCAGTCAATCCGATATTGGACACAAATCTGAGCATGAAGGTTAATATAGATATATATTTGGTAGAGATAGCCGGTTGCCGAATATTGATGCAAGTCCACCGATAAAGTATTGCTCCCTTGGGGCGAAGCTTGACTTTGTTTTACTAGAACTCTCGCTACAAAAATTAACCTGTTTTAATCTTTTCTTTGAAGCATATATATCTGGACAAGGTTATATGCGATTAACTTACAGCTTGTACTTTGAGTAGATGAGACGAAAAGCTAAACTTAGAAAAAATCGCTGACATCAATAAGCCCTCAACAAATGTCGAATATTACCGATCAGTTCTTTAGTATATAACGAGCAGTATATCTCTGGACCAGTAAATAATCTGGAGCTGAAATTTCGGCGACGAAAATTTCTTAGTGAGTGCTTGACGCATTCAAAATTTCAGCTTGTCAGAATGTTTTTTTCTGCTCATGAAAGCTCCATCAATATTATGATTTTGATGAGAATCAGGCTATTGGGAAAGATCAATCTGAAGCAATATATGGTCGATAGAAGTTTGCTTGGAATGTTCATAGAGTACTAAGCATCCTCTAATAAAACATGCAAGACTTGCACTTACAGATTAAATGAGAGGCCCGAAGCACGCACTTGTGCGAATAGAAGTGCCGAACGAAATCAGCTTTCAGGAATCTAATACATGTACGTTAAAACGGAGCTGAATGACAACGGCATGTGGATGTCGCAAGAATATATAATAACAGGAATGAGAGAAATAATAATCACTCCAAG